TCTATATTTTCAGTTTTTCAGTGAAGGATATTTAATTATTCAAAAAGAACCAAAAGTTTTCAGAGAAACTTACAAAAACTCCTATTTGGCCTTTTAATTCAGGTGGCAGATGTAGAAACAACTCCCTCACTGACCCCAAGAAGAATTTAAAAAGTGAGAATGAGCTTTAAAGATATGCCTGAACAAACTGTTTTGATGCACCCACTGAATAAGCTAAAGTAATTTATTTAAGTCATAATCTTCGACTGCTCTTCCTTGATACAGGGAAACACACCAGCACTAAAGTGAATCTTGTTCTTTTGGGAATGGCCGGTACTGGAAAGAGTGCCAGTGGAAACACCATCCTCAAAAAGAATGTCTTCATGTCTAAACCCAGTTCAAATCCGGTCACCAGAGAGTGTCAGGTGGGAGAAACAAAGATAAATGGCATACACTTTCGTGTGATTGATACTCCTGACATATTCGATGACGAGCTCAAATCATCAGATAAAGAGAAACATGTAAAAAGGTGCAAAGAGCTCTGTGAGTCAGAAGCTTGTGTGTATGTACTTGTGATGCATGTGAGCAGATTTACAGATGGTGAAAGAGACATACTGACAAAGTTAGAAAAAGCCTTTTGGAACAAAGTTAGTGAAAAAACAGTCATCCTGTTCACCCGAGGAAACGACTTGAAGCAGACAGAAGTGACGTTTGAGGATTTTTTGAATTCCTCCATACCTAGTCTGAAGGACATCATTGAAAAATGTGGCAACAGGTGTGTTGTTTTTGAGAACAACAGTCCAGATTCAGATCAAGTGGAAAAACTTGTGAGTTCAGTAATGAGTGTGGCAGAAAACGGCAAATGATAAATTAATGTTTCAGATTATAGCAATAAAGGGGTGCAAGTGATTTCTTATGTAATGCTATGAACAGAGCATGAAATAATTTCCTAAATTATCCATTTAAAAATTAATCAAATTAAAGAATTGTAAATTAAGTATTTTTTCAAATCTTCTTGTGTATTTTGAGTCTTTGTTAAAGATCATTCATGTTAGAGTCATCAATAAAAGAAGTTTGAGAACTTATCCTGCTTGTTTGTTAACGTGTGGCTTCAAACGCCACAGATTCTTCTCCTGAATCGAATTAACTCTTTTCATACTTCATACATGGTTTGATAATTTTGTATTGTGTTATACAATATATATGTATTTATATAGTTGTGATAAAGCATAAAAGCTGATTTAATGGTGATTTACTGGTTACTGTGATCTCCCCTCCCCTTACAGCTATTAAAGGGAATCATCCACTGAGATATGTGAAGATTTTTCTATTGAATCATTTGTTTTAACATAGTAGACATTCTGTTAGGAAACCAAAAATTAAAATGCCCCTAATGTGCTCCAGCCATTAATGTGTCCTCTCTGTTAAGCATGAAACCTGAAGAAGTTTTGGTGTTTAGGATGGATGCTTCATTATGAACAGTTTTTCTGCTGCATTATATAATTACTATATGTAAATATAGATATCACTTTGAAAATTATATCATATTTAATCCTGAATTTTTGAGTCTGTGATGACGTCTCTTCTGATGTAACTTTTTATTTTTCTGTTGCATTTTGACTCTGGACTAAGCATTTATCTATGTATACACCACATTACTGTACTGTACGCATACACACACACTTACACTGATAAGCACTCACTCATCTCCCCTTCCCTTTCCAACGCCTTCGA